TGCGACGCTGGCGCGCTGGCGGGAAGCGCGTCACCGCGCGTCGTCGAGTCGACCTGTTCGAACTGTTCGGCGTCGCGGGGGCCGCGGGGGCCGCGGGGGCCTCAGGCATTGCAGTGTGCAGTCGTGGCCCCGCGAGCAGCCCGGGCCGGGGCCTCGGCCGGGGCAGCCTGGAGGTTACACCAGCACACGGCGCGACACTGGAGGCTCGGCGGAGGAATAGTTCGGCGCCTTTTGTGTAAATTGGCGGTGTGACTCATGCTCATGGCCAATTTGAGGCAGGCCGGCCGAGCGCGCCTCTCTCTGTCTCTCTCACTCTCTCGTCCGCGCGGCAAGGAGGCAGCGGAGGGAGACGCCCCTCACTGTAAAAGTGAGAGGCCCCTCGCCCCCCTCTTAGCAGCATGGAATTTCTAAAAACCGGTCTCTTATTTTGACAAAGCGTAGCGATAAACGGTTTCTACCATAACACGCCCTCGCCCTTCTGCGTTGTTTTGACAGTTCATCAAAACTTTCTTAATCAAGTTCTAAACTATAGTCTGACGAGTTCTTTTTTTCGGGGGGGGGGTGTCGGACAGCAATGGCCGAGGCACCACTATAATGAGCATTTCGAGGTGTGCCGGTCCGATGCTGCCGAAAGCGACCTTGTAATAATTCCTATTTGGCTGCGTCGTTTTCCTCTAAAGTGGGCAAGGTTGTGTCCTGGACGCCTCGGCCGCCTCGCGAGCACTGCGGTGTGGCGCCGAGCATTTGAACTCCGTTTGACTCCTGCTGCTCAGTGTGTCAGTTTAGTGGGTTGTTACCGTGCTGGTCCCGCGCGGCCGGGCGGCACGGCGTGAGGACACTGCAAGGAAAGGAAGCGGCCTTTTTCACGTCGTTTGAATAACACCGATGGATGAGCCAGTTGGCGTAAAGTGTAGCGAGTGCTTCTTCGCAGTGCTGTCACCGCGACACCCATTTCCTAAATGTGTGCCGACCTTGTGGGCGGGAACCTTGCCGACGGGGACCTTGAGAGAGTACCGACGGGTCGCCTTGGCAAACGTACAGCGACGGCGGTGCGGGCCGCCGGGCCGGGCCACCCCGCACCTCTCACACGAGGCCCACTACACGGCGCACATGCTGCGAGGGCGATGGCGATGGCGATTCAAGCCGCCGGCTAGGCTGCAGGCTGAGAGTCGTAGCTCCGCGTAGCTCCGTCTCCCTCGCACTCTTGGGGCGTCCCGTGTGCCCGTGTAGGTGCGAGGGAGGCAGTGACGAAAACGACTCGCGCCGAGTCGCCGTCGTGGCGCCGGCACTGCCGCGCGCGTTCCTTCCGTCCGCCAGAGCGTCGTGCTTGCCTTTGAGTGCGAGAGGCGCGGTCTGAACGCTTCCTCTCAAGTGGCGCCTGCGGTGGCGGCGCCTCCGCCTCGCTCGCGGCGTCCTGGCCGCGCCGGCCGACGTCGTGTAGTGCACTGTGCAGCCTGCAGGGCCTGCAGGGCGGCGCTCCGCCTCGCTCGCGGCGTCCTGGCCGCGCCGGCCGACGTCGTGTAGTGCACTGTGCAGCCTGCAGGGCCTGCAGGGCGGCGCTCCGCCTCGCTCGCGGCGTCCTGGCCGCGCCGGCCGACGTCGTGTAGTGCACTGTGCAGCCTGCAGGGCCTGCAGGGCGGCGCTCCGCCTCGCTCGCGGCGTCCTGGCCGCGCCGGCCGACGTCGTGTAGTGCACTGTGCAGCCTGCAGGGCCTGCAGGGCGGCGCTCCGCCTCGCTCGCGGCGTCCTGGCCGCGCCGGCCGACGTCGTGTAGTGCACTGTGCAGCCTGCAGGGCCCGCAGGCTTGCTCTCGTCGGGCAGCTTGCCGCCTGATTCCAAAGCTCTGTCTCTGTCGCACTCACGGGGCCGTTCGCGTGAGTGCGAGAGAGACAGAGCGACGAAACGATCCTTCGGAATCAGGCTGCTGGGGGCAGCCGGCTCGCGCGATAAAGCAGGGACCGGCAGGGGCACTTTGCAGTGTGCTGCCTCATGCAATAAATCGGTCGCCCGCCGCAGCGCCGCAGCCCGCCGGTCCCAAATTCAAGCCAGACGGCCCCGCCGCGCCCCGTCCCGCCCCGCCCCGCCGCGCCGCGCTGGTATCGCGACGAAATTGCCGGCTGCGCGGCGGTGCGTTGCATTTTGCGATGTATTATCGCGGGGGTGTCGATGCTTGTTGTTTATTGTTGTTGTTGTTTGTCCGTGCCGCTGCCGCTTGCAGTGCCCTGCCCACGGGCCGGGCAGGGGGCAGGGGGCCGGGCGTCGCCGCGCCGCCGTGTCGATGGTCGCGGACGCCGCCGCGTCGCGTCGCGTGCTCTCTGCTTAGGGGCCGTACACAAATAACGTCACGCGTTTTTTGGCCATTTTTGACCCCCTCCTCCCCTCTTGTCACATTTCGTCACATCCGGCTAAACCCCCTCCCCCCTCCGCCCTTGTGACGTTATTTAAGGGGATTTAGAAGGGAATCAATGCTAGCTGTCAAAATGTAATTTCAATAGAATTTTGACTTGGCTAAAAAGTTGCAGGGTGCAAATAAAGTTTAAATATTTTCTGGCAGTGCGCGCGGTTTGCGCCGCGCAGTGCAGTGCAGGAGCGTAGCGCCGTCGTTTGCGAAAAAAAAACGATTTTACAGAGGTTTTAAGAAAATAACGTCACAAGGGCTCAAAACCCCCCCTCCCCCTCGTCACATCTCATCACGTCCTGGCGAACCCCCACCCCCCTCTACATGCGTGACGTTATTTGTGCACGGCCCCTTATCGCGTGTCGCCGCCGCTACTTTTTGTTGTTATGTGATTGGTCCCTCTCGACGCTCCCCGACTCGATTGCCCAGATATGACAGACACTGCCCTCGTTGCTCCCTTCAGGTTGAAAAGAATCTTGTTGTATAGTAAATTTGAAATTTCTGAGGAGCACCATTGATTAAATTTGTCGAACCGTTGTCGGGCTGTTTCGTTTTTCCGTCAGATGAGCCTTTGGTTTCTGGCACTTCCGCTCGTTCCCAGGGATCCTTTAGCTTATCTCGAACGCATGTCCTAACGTTATCGTAATAATCGTTTAAGTCATAAATCATTATGAAACAATAAGTTATTTTTCTAGCTTCTGGCTTTCCGAACTGTGTATTCATATCTATAACCTTTACCTTACCTTGTTTTATGGTAGGTTTTTCAATCCAGGATCCGTTATGTGTTCTGATAAGTTAAGGATCTCCGCTTCCGCCACGGTCTGGGTGTCTTTCATTCATTGCCCCCCGCCCCCTCCATTTTCACTTTTTATCCCGTTCCTTCCGATAAAACCGAGCTGCCTAAGCACACTCATGACACATGAACCCGATCGCTGCGACGCGCTTGGCTGGCCTGGGCTGCTTGGAGACGTGGCGTGCGGCGACGCGACGCCGTGTTTGTCAACACTTGCCGCGCCGCGCGGACCATGACGCCGTGCACGGCGTGACGTCACGCGAGACGGATAATGCTCTAGCCCGACGCCGCCGCCGACACTGTCAGTGATAGCAGTGTGGTGCGCGCTCCCGGAAACGCGCCCGTGTCTTCGTCGTGCGGTGTTACCTTTTCATGCCGTTTGCTTTGTTTTTATTTTCGTGATTTTTTTTTTTTTTTTTTGCTAGTGGGGGCGTTTTTGACATTCTGACGCTAAGTTCTACACGCCTTGGGTCAGTGCGACTAGTGCGTTTGAACGGTTTTTGAAAATGCGGCCGGCGAGACGGTGTGTGAGATAGAGAAAGGACCGCGCTTTGGGTGGAAGGGAAGTCCTTTTGGACACGGCCCGGTGGATTCGATCCGGGTCGGCCTGTCGGCCTGTCCGAACATCGCTCTCGTCGCTCTGTCTCTCTCGGGCTCGCGGGCCGCGAGTGCGAGAGAGACAGAGACTGTGTCGGCGGCTAGAAAGTGCGCGGGCAGCGGGGAGGCGCGCAGAACGCGTCACGCCGCTGCACCGCGCTTGCAGTGGCCGCACCGTCCCGGCCCGTCCATCGCAACAGCACTCTACAGTGGCGTGGCGACCGCCGCAGTGTTTCTGGAGGCCCGAGACGCCCGGCCGGCGTCCGCGAGCTTGGCGCGCTGCGTGTGCGCGGTGTGCGTCCAGTCCTCCGCCCCCACGCCACAAGACATAGTGCACTCATAGTGCTTCCAAGCACACTCTTATTAACAGCGTACTTCCTAGGCACACGCTAAAATAGAGTGTACCTGGCAAGTACACGCTAAACAAGTGTGTACCTTGCAAGTACACGCTAAAATACGCTCGATTAGTCCTATCTAAAAGCATGGGCCAGTTTAAGTGTACACGCCATGCACACTCTTATTTAGCGTGCACATGCAATGTACGTACACTCTATTTTAGCGTGTGCCTAGCAAGTATGCTGTAAATAAGAGTGTACTAGGAAGCATGCTCTAATAAGAGTGTACAATGTACACACTTCAGTTTGCAGAGCACAAGACGAAATGATTTATTTTTGCAAACTTTGAAAGTTCGTGTCATTTCGCTTCCGCGCGGTGGTAGCTTTAATTATATTTCGCCGCGCGAATTTTGTGGTGGGCGAGATTGTGAGGCATTGTGCTCAATAATTTGCTTTGGACTCCGAGGGACTCCCCCTTTTCGGGACACTTTTACCAATTACGCCTGTGTGGAAAAAGGTTTTGCACAAAAAAGATGCTCTTCGTTACAATTAGTAAGAATTTCCGCTCGAGTTCCTTCCGTCCAGCACAACTCTGCGTTTTGCTCTTTTCCCCTTCTGGTGTAGCTCCCGACGAGGCGTAGGGCGGTGCGTGAGTGCGTGCGGTGTGGGCCAGGCTTATTAACGAGATGAGGTTGCGCAAGTAGTCGGCCAGCAGACTGAGAGTCGTTTTCGTCGCTCTGTCTCTCTTGCACCCATAGGGAACGCCCCCTGAGTGCGAGAGAGACAGAGCGACGAAACGACAGTGCGGAGATGTGCAAGCCGGGCCTCGTCTTGTCCAACGCATCTTTGTTTCATGGCTGCCTTTTTATTTGTTGCAGGGAGGCGAAACAAAAATCAGCCACCATGGCGTTCGCAGGGCTAAAGAAGCAGATCAACAAAGCCAACCAGGTAGGCATTCTCCGTTTGCTTCCACTGTGTCGGCAATGGAACCCGCGATCTCGCTCGACACTGTGTACCGACCGAGTGAGTGAGAGGAAGAGAGTGCGAGGTTGGATGCCGCAGGATGTGCACCGGAAATGTGAAATGTGATGCAATCTCTGTGATAACCCGCCGCGGCAGCCGCGGCCAGTGGGAGGATTTTCAAGTGTGTCACTGGGAGCGCACTCCCTCTCGCCCTTGTCTATCTCCTGGTCGGTGGCCAGAGCCATCCCGTTTGCGGCCGGGCTCTCGGAATGACGGCAAGGCGGCAAGGCGAGGGGCCCTCGTCGCCCCGTCTCCCTCGCACTCGTGGGGCGTGCCGGGCGAGTGCGAGGGAGACGGGGCGACGGAGGAGACTGTGGCCGCCTCGGCCTGGCCCTCGGCCTGGCCCTCGGCCTGGCCCTCGGCCCGGAAGTGCCCAATATCGCGCTGGTTTCCTTGGCGCGGCGGGGCGCGGCGGCGCGGCGTGCCACCAGAGGGCCGCTAGCCGCCGCCACTCCGCTGCCAGATGAAGCAGGCCAGCGTCATTGATTGTGCGTCGTCGTGGACTCTGAATCCGAACGGTGTTTTGGTCGCTCTGTCTCCCTCGCACCCCTGCCGTGCCTGCCGGGACGCCCCACGAGTGCGAGAGAGACAGAGCGACGAAGCGCTGGGGCTGGCTGGGGCCACGTGTGCCACGTGGTGAGGGCCGCGGGTGGGGGTGGGTGGGGCCGGGGGGTGGGCCACCCCGCTCCGCTCTCTCCCACCCCACGGCGGCTACCCTAAGGGGTGTCCGTGGAACGGGGTCACTGGTGCGAAGGCGGTGAGGCGGCCGCGGGAAGGCTCGGAGGGATAGGCCAGGGTGGAGACCGGGGGGGGGGGGGGGGGTCCAGCGGGGCGGGTCGAACGGATCCCGTTCCCTCCCGGTCCATCTGTATCCGTGGGCCAGCCAGGGGTTTGTTGGTTCCTGGCGCGTGCGTGGTGCGTGTACTCCCTACGGTGGCGCGGCCGGGTCGTCCGCCGGGGAATCGGCAAGGAAGGACTGGAGTTGTCAATCACGCGCGGCGACCTTCTCCTCTTCCTCTTGCTCTTCCTCTTTCGTTTCCTCTTCATCTTTCTCTTCCTCTTGCTCTTCCTGTCCTTTTTACTCTTCCGCTTCCGCTTCCTCTATCTCCGCGCCAGAGGAAGTTTGCTTTCTGTGCGACTTACCGGCCCGGGGTGGTGCGCCACGCGGCGGCGGACGTGATTTTATTTTGGAGTGTCTGTTGTTGGCAAAGCAAAGCCGCCCCCGCTCGCCCGCTTTTGCCCTCTTCAATGGAGGAGTTTGGTTGCGGGCCGCGGCGCAAGTTTGCCTCGAGCATTGTCCGCCTGGCCTGTGGCCTGGCCTGTGGCCACGCAGGAGCCACGCTGTAGTGCGGCCTCGCCAGGCGTCGCCAGGCCAGGCATGCCCAGGGCATGCCCAGGCAGGGTGGCGTGGGTGTTTATTTTGGGCTCCCGGAGGTTCGGTCGGAGTGAACGGGCAGCCCCACCATTACTCGTCGCGCCCGACCAGCCCTTTCGGGGCCTCTCGGGGCCTCTGGGCCCGAGGGGGAAGGGCCGCTCGCTGTGCCCAGACTACTGGAACCGTTTTATCGGGAATAGATGATCCTGGACCATTTTTACAGCCAAGCCAAGCGAAGCGCGGCAGTGGATGGGAGTCTGGTGGAAAGCCCGCTCGATTCCGGATTCTGCAACCAGGCGCCGCGCCGAGTGCGGGCCCGCCTCCGCAAGGGGCCTTCAGCCAACGGGCCGCGTCGTGCGGGCCTGCCTACCCTGCCTCCGCAAGGGGCCTCGCCGCCTGGCTGGCAGGCAGTCCCGCCAACGGGCCGCGTCGTGCGGGCCTGCCTACCCTGCCTCCGCAAGGGGCCTCGCCGCCTGGCTGGCAGGCAGTCCCGCCAACGGGCCGCGTCGTGCGGGCCTGCCTACCCTGCCTCCGCAAGGGGCCTCGCCGCCTGGCTGGCAGGCAGTCCCGCCAACGGGCCGCGTCGTGCGGGCCTGCCTACCCTGCCTCCGCAAGGGGCCTCGCCGCCTGGCTGGCAGGCAGTCCCGCCAACGGGCCGCGTCGTGCGGGCCTGCCTACCCTGCCTCCGCAAGGGGCCTCGCCGCCTGGCTGGCAGGCAGTCCCGCCAACGGGCCGCGTCGTGCGGGCCTGCCTACCCTGCCTCCGCAAGGGGCCTCGCCGCCTGGCTGGCAGGCAGTCCCGCCAACGGGCCGCGTCGTGCGGGCCTGCCTACCCTGCCTCCGCAAGGGGCCTCGCCGCCTGGCTGGCAGGCAGTCCCGCCAACGGGCCGCGTCGTGCGGGCCTGCCTACCCTGCCTCCGCAAGGGGCCTCGCCGCCTGGCTGGCAGGCAGTCCCGCCAACGGGCCGCGTCGTGCGGGCCTGCCTACCCTGCCTCCGCAAGGAGCCTCGCCGCCTGAAACCTCCCTCCAGCCCCAGCCACCGTCTGTGTCTTGCAGGCGAGCCGGCCTGGAGATGACGCAATATTTGCTCGACTTCTCCCCAGTGTGCCTGATACGCCTTGTTTTGAGGCTCACACTGGGCGAGGCCCCGAGGCCCCGGCCTGGCCGCCGAGACCCTTCATGAAGGAACCCCCGGAGGACAAACGGGGTGAAAGAGCGTACCGAGCCGAAATGAGCGGGTTAAGTCACGTCACTGTAGGGGGGATGGGGTGGGGCATGGTGGGGTGACGAGGGTGTAAGCTTCTTTGCGGGGTTCTGGCGGGGCGTGGCGGGGCGTGGCGGCAGCTAATGGGACGCGTGGGGGTCCTGGTTCGGTCCTGGTGCTCCTGGCTCGGCGTGCTCCCCGCTGCTGGCGGGCTTCGGCGCTGGCTCTGGCTGGTCCACGAGCAAGCGGCAGATGAGTCATCATCCGAGCAGGGCCGCGGCGGTGGGGCCTCATGGTGGGGCTGCCCCTAACGCTGGAAGGCTGGAAGGGATGGGGTGAGAGGGTGGCTAGCTCGGCGCACAGCGTTGCTCGTGGCGGGGCTGGCGGGGCTGGCAGGGCTTTGTGCGCGTTGTGCCGAGAGGGGTGGGTCAGGGGCAAGCCGAGGAAAAAGGAGGGGGGCGCACCGCGCACGGCACACGGGGCAAGATCAATACCGCCAAGGCCACGCTGGCTGGGCTGGCTGGGCTGGGGGCTGCGGTACGGGGGACTCGCCTGTTCAAGCCTTCGCGGGCCTCCGCCCCCGCCCCCGCCCCCGCACCACCCCGCCCCCGCCCCGGACGTGACGGGGTGGGGCGGGGAGGAACGGAGAGGGAAGTCTCCTCCCTGAAGTCCAGCGCAGCGGCGCAGCCTACTGAAATCGAAAGAGAGCCCTTCGCAAATTGGTTGGGCCACACACTGTTAGAAAAATTGTCGTACATCTACATTAAAATTGTTGCTAATTTTTATAGCAACGCTAGAGTCCTTCTGGAATGATTTAGTCGTAATTTAACGACTAAAATGCCGTTTGTGTGTGACAAAGCTCTAAATTATTTTGCCAATAAAATTCAAAACTGATGGCAACACTTTTCGGTTTGTGTTGTTAAGTAACGACCCATGTCCTTAATTTTTGACCAGAATTGTAAAATAACGGCTTTGTCCATATTTCTACGATAATTTCAGCTGCAAATTTAAGATCGGTTGTAAATTTTACGATCAAAGTTGGAAATTTACTGTGAAAATCGTAAATCTACTTCTGACTTGCCATGAAAATTAGCAATAAAATTGTTGTTTATCAAAACCTTTAAACCTCATTACACATGACTTCAAAAAATAAAATTGAATTTGTTTTAAGATCTCCATTGATGTTAAATTTTATGCTTAAACTTAACTGTCTCTCTGTTGACATTTATCAATTATATGTTTCTTTCTGTTTTGCAGTACATGACGGAAAAAATGGGTGGTGCAGAAGGTACAAAACTAGATGTTGACTTTGTGGATATGGAGAGGGTATGTTCCATTCTAACTAATTTGAAATGCGCAAGTGTCCCAATATCCTTCAAACTTTATGGCCATCTTGTTTCCTCCACAGAAAACCGATGTTACCGTTGAGTTGGTAGAAGAGCTCCAATTAAAAACACGAGAATATCTGCAACCAAATCCAACTGCTCGAGCCAAAATGGCAGCCGTCAAAGGAATCTCCAAGTTGTCTGGCCAGGCGAAGGCATCAACTTACCCACAGCCAGAAGGTGTTCTTGGAGATTGTATGGTCACTTACGGCAAAAGGCTGGGAGAAGACAGTATTTTTGGTAAGGCCCACTCTATATACAGTCTTCATTTAATTGATTCATTTTCCTCCTCCTTTAATCACCTTTTTCTGTATTTAGCGCAAGCCCTCATTGAGATGGGAGAGTCTCTACGTCAAATGGCCGATAACAAATACTCCCTGGATGACAATATAAAACAGAACTTCCTGGAGCCATTACATCACCTCCAAACAAAGGATCTCAAAGAGGTCATGGTATGTGTATTTTTCCTGCTGTGAATTGTTTGTATACCGTTAAGAATATCTTTCTAAGTGAATCCTGTGCTGTGCAGCACCACCGCAAGAAACTTCAGGGGAGACGTCTTGATTTTGACTGCAAAAGACGACGACAAGCTAAAGGTAGTTCATCTCACAATCCTGGTCAGTCGTGGGAGGAGTTTGAGGCTTAACGCCTCAAAGGCTTGCAATTCTGTCTCTTTATTGAATTAACTCAATGATCTCGCTGCTGCATGAATGTATTCTGAGGGGTTATGGCGTAGTGTTCATGAATGTTGCCCCTCCCCCTCCCCCCCCCCAAAAAAAAATGTTGGTAACATTTCTTAGAATTTCTATAAAGTTTTAGGTTTTTCTTAATTTAACCTTATAATTTGTTACTGTTTAATTTTTTTGTTAATTTGATTTGCCTTTGTAGAGATGCAAAACTAGGTTTGGCAATATTTAGAAAGCTTCCTCTTTCTTCTGTTTCTGATTTTTAATACAGGCATTTCTTTCTCATTTAAGTGTAATTTGTGCATGTGTGTGTCTTGCTGCATGGAGTAGGATCAGTCAATCGATCTCCTTATGGAAGCCCAATCCGACTGGGCTCTGGTGTAACTGCTGCTGGTGAGCTTCTGTCTTAGTTTAAACATTGTTTGTCCTGGGTTTTAATCTGGTTAATATTATTAAACTAATAATAAATAATAATACCTTTTTTTTGTGCATGCACTTGCAATGTCAGGATTTGGCCAGTCATTGATTTGTTTTAATTTTTTTTTTTTTTGGCTTTGCTGGGAATTTTAATTTTGATGTCCACATGGTTTTACATTTCATTTCTCGTATCTCTATGAACATCCGCGAGTAAAGAAAAAGTTGGGGGTGGAGTTCTTTGCTGGTTTACTTCTATTATTATTGTGCATTGGATTACATGTAGAACAGCTGCTGCATTTTAAGCTTTGGTTTTATTTTATTTTGTTATTTTGTTTTATCCACCTTTTTAATTTCTTTTTATTTTATGTCTCCTTTTTCCTACTTGCCATTGTGTTTGCCTGCTGTTTGCTGGCCACATGGGGATAAAGGATCTCATATTTCAGATGACGAGATTCGCCAAGCTGAAGAGAAGTTTGCTGAGTCACTTCATCTTGCTCAGATGGGGATGTTTAACCTTCTTGAGAATGATGTAAGTCACTTAATTTAATGAACACACAAAAGACTCTTTTAATGTAATGTTAGGGCCATGCTCTAATTGATTTAATTTCCAGGTGGAACAAATTTCTCAGTTGGCAACATTTTCAGAAGGACTCCTTGAATACCACCAGCAATGTACTGAGATCTTGAAAGTTCTTGTTGAAACTATGCATGAAAAGTAAGTGTGTCCATTTTAATACTGTTCCATTCTTGTTCTTGCATTTGCATATGTTGTCTGAACAATATTTAACATATATTTGTTTTTAACTATAGGAAAGAAGAAGCAGCTAACAGACCTAAATCAGAATTCACTCCAAAAACATTGGCAGACCTTAACATTGATCATGTTGGAGTACTGGACGGCATGAATGGTTTGAATTCTAATTCCAACAATTACTTACCTGCTCAGCATACGGGTGGCTCCAACTCATATTCTTTCAACAATCAAAATCAAAATACCTATCCCTCAGTGTATCCCAATACCCAACCCCTCCAAACGCACAAACCTATTGACCCCTGGTCAGCTGCTCCGCCCTCCAGACCCAAAGGTGATACATCACTTTGTTTTTGTTTTTTTACATTTTGGAGGTGGTGGGTCTGTTATTTCTAGTTTTGAAGGTTCTCAAATTCCATTTGGAATGTTAATTATTCAAAAAAGTCTTATCTTTCGGCCTCAATGGACTCATTTATATTTTATAAATGAGTCCATGTGTTGTAATATCTTATCTTGCGTGTTTTGGTGGAGGTGCATATATCTTGGTGTGGCACATCGAGTAAGAGGATTTTTTTATGATTGTTCTTAAACACATCTATTGGTTATGTCTTCGTTCTTCTAGCAACATTTATTTTGTGGCTTTAGGTGTTTCACTGCTTCTCTTCAGATGGTAGTAATTCACAAAAATTGTAGTTCTTGGAAAATCATCACTGCCTTTTCCTTCTTAGTGCTTTTTTTGCTGGACGGTTGAGTTGACACTCTTATGTATAATATTTCTGAGACTTGACACTCGTTTTGTACCCTGTGTTGTGGATAGCTTGCCCCTTAACTCATACTCTCTTCTGCATTCTATGACCATTAGAAATTGCTTGGCTGCATGTTGCACTTCTTTAACATTTTATGCGCATTGCTACATGTTCAAGTCCTGAGATCTCATGCTCATGTGATGCTGATTTTGTTTGATTCATTCTAAGCAGAAACTTTTTGTCGTACAGTAGTGTTGTTTGTTGATGTTTTTAATTCTATTTAAAAACTTTGTTATTGATGCAACTTTTCTTTGTTTTTACTGTTTGTGTTGTTTACTACACTCTACTTTGGTCTTAAATACATAGTACTTAGCCAATTCTCATCTTGTACTTAGATGTAGCTTATTAGGATGAAATCTTCGTTAAACACTCGGCGGGTAAGTGTCCCATGTGCCACATTTTCACTGGCCCTTTTATTTATAATTCTCTGAATTGATTTTGAGATGTGAAAGATTTATGGTTGGAGCACGGCCCCATGTGATGCTGGGTGGATCTTAGTTTAGGTCAATTTAATGGGATGGGGATTGTTTAGTTCAGGAAAGTGTTCCAACTTCCTTGGTTGTGAAAAGGTTCAAAAACACAATTTAGCTTCAGACCTCTCTATCAGTCAAAATTTTGTCATCTTGCGCAGTGTTTATGTGCTGGCTTCTTTGCTAAATGTTTCCTGAGCCCTCTCTTTCAATCCCCTCTCCTCCCTACAATCTGCTGTGTGTCTCTTCTTTTTATTATTAGCCAATAGTGGTTTACTTTCAGTGGCATTATAAATGAGCCAAAGCATATTCATTTTACTTCAAATTTTTTGTTAAGGCCTTTCTTTATATACCTCTAAAGATATTTCTGACAGAGTTGCTTGAAGTAACTTTCTTTTACATCTGAAAATACTGAGATTATTCTTGTATTTCGGCTAATAATTGATTTTATTGCGACTTGGTATTCAGTTCAGGTTTTGGCTTTTTCTTATGTCAATTTTGGTGCTATAGTTGTGGTTCTTCAGAAATGGAACAGAAATCTTAAAAGTGCATGCTGTGTTGGCTAAATATTGATTTGGGTTGCATGGTGGTGGCTGTGTGTAGGGTCTTCTCAAGCCTCGACTCCTGTGCACGTCAACAAACCAAACCAACTGGAGCTGTTCCCATCAGCAAACCAGTCTCGCTCTACTAATGGTAATATTTTATTAGCTGTTTCACAATCTTAACCACGAGAATAATTTGTGTTTCTTGTTTAATTTTGTGTTCAATATTATTGAAAACATATTTTCATTTTATGGTCATACATAAGTGTCTCTTGATATAAGACTTATTTTTGGGATGCAAAAAGATGCCTTTATGAACTCTCTGCAAGGATTCCAACAATATCCAATGGGATCATGCTGGTCTTTTTATGCATTTGCCATCAATCCAAAAATTTCATCTTTATCTTGAGAAATAAAATTAGTACAAGATAACTGTTATTTTTGTTTACTTTTGGTTTGTGTGTGTGTTAGTGTGTGTGTGCCATTAAACTTAATATCTCATTGGCATGGTTTTTGGTGTCTTTTACTGTTTCTCCTTCATGGTTTTGCTTTGTCTTGCTTTCTATCACCTCATCCTGTTTAAATCATGGGCAATTGCATAAAGAATAAAAAAAAAAGCAACAAAAAACAATAAGAATGAAACTTGCAAATGCAAGGAGATTTTTGTCTCTTTGGTCAACTCAAAAGATTGCACACTGTTTAGTCTTGTATTATTCTTGTAAAAATGACTTGCTTAACAATTTTACAGAGTAGTTTTCTTTATTTGGTGTTTGCTTTCCTTTCAGCATCACCACTGCCATCTCCCATGAAAGGTTCTCCTGCCCGAACACCTGTCAGCAAAGGACCTTGTTGCAGCGCTCTATATGATTTTGATCCAGAAAACCCTGGTGAACTTGGATTCAAGGTTAGTGTTGTACTTTAATAAAATTTAGTGTGGCAATTGCTTTGTTGAACCTCAACCATTATCCTTGAATGTTTCTTTCGAATTTCAGGAGGGAGATACTATTCAATTGGTCAAAAAGATTGATGAGAATTGGTATGAAGGAAGTGTTAATGGACGAACTGGATTTTTCCCTCAGAGCTATGTCCAAGTAGTCGTCCCACTACCCTAGACATTTTAATTGTGTCAAGCATTCCATTCTCCCCCTATATGCAATGTGCGCATGCGCCACGATCATCTGCCGTCAAGTTTAGCAACCTGGGCATATCCAGGACTATGCTTCACACCACTCAACTTAATTTATTTCCCCCGAGTATATTTTGCCAGATTATGTATTGATAATTTTATTTCACTTCCTGCGAGGATGTCTTGAATTTTAATTGTTGTCTAGCATCATTTTACTGTGTTTTTTTTTTTTATTTCATGCAACTGTGTCTATTTGAGTTGTATATAGCTAAAATCAAACAATGAATGAACTAATCATACCCATAATGCACAGTTAAGTTGTATCTGTGCATACTACTATATAATTATATATATATATATATCTATAATATATACATTTGATGTATATAAGGTGTTGTGAGCGCTTACTTGTCTGTGTACACATGCACATTCATGAATATCCATAAATGTTAAGTCAGTATTTATTGTGAATGGGAATAAACGTTAAAAATGTAGAGGAAATAAATTTGTTTTAAATAAGTATATAGTCTCAGTTTGCACATTTGGTCACTGAGTTTTGTTGGCAAGGTGTCTTATCAACCATAAACACCTTTTTAAATCTTTAATTTTATTTTTTGTTCAACTTAATGAGATTTGCCTTGCAAATTGTTTCATGTGATTTTGAAATACAATGTATGTATAAATTGGCCATTGTGTATATCAAGTTTGTGGTGTGAAAATATAGTTTTAAATTATATTTTAAAAAATGTTCACTTTGAGACCTCTTGAACAATGTTCCTCCTCAGGAATTGTAAGGGGTTTGTTGTTGGTTGGATCCTTCAAATGGAGGATTGGAACCAAAGTACGTAGTTTCATTGGTTGTTTCATTTATTTTTACTGTCTTTCTTCCTATATTAATATTACGTAGACCTTTGGGCTGAAAATTGAACTACCCTATTTGGAAACTGTAACCCAAAGTCTTGGGCCCTTTCCTGTTCCTTTCAGGATGTAAAGATTATTTGTCAGAGCAATGCTGTGTAAAGTGCAAGCATGTAAGGTCTGATCCAAACACATACTAAATCTTGAGATTGTTGCTGTTTGGATGGTAAGAATGTCATGTACCAAAGGTCTTCTGAAGGCATTATGCAAATGTAAATTGCTTCAGTACAGGAACGTGGAATCAGATGTTTACAAACACTAAATGTTTTAAGTATTAATGGTGACATCACTTGTTGATTGTGATTACCATAACATTGTGAGATGTATTGGCTTGTAAATAAGTCATAAACTCGTGAGAAATCGCCTCTGTGTATTACTTTTCCTAATGACTGATATTTGTTGGCCACTGAAAGCTCTGTAGTATATTTTTGCATGAAGACGAGCTGCAATGCATTCTGCTGTCTAAAAGTTAGCTTGTGTTCAAAAGACCTTGTCACTTTTGCCATTTAAGAGGAGGCATGTCTCTGATGATGCAGTCATGGAAGTACTTAAGACAGAAGTATTCTTTGAACTAAGTTTTCGATTTCGAAGAATAAATTGACTTGTCAAATTGAATCACACTGCCATTCCAAATAATGAAGCTGGGTTGATATTGAGATTCTTCTTTCCCTCAAGTGGCTTTCCTTAAGCTCCCAAACCTGCCAGCAGAATTAGCTTTTGTAAAAATATTATTCTATGTAAGGAAGACTTAGCTGTTATACCAAGGTTTCATTTTTGTTATGTTTTTGTTCAGCTTTCATAATTATCATGTTTATTAGATAAATTTGTGCTCGATGTTAAAAATCAGTGTCACGTCACAGAAAAGTGGAAATATTTTTATCAAGCCTGTCAACCCAACTTTATTTTAACTTCATTAAGTAGGATTGCAGTGCGATAGTGGAAATTTTTGAGTTCAAAGAAAAATGATAAATCTTATCCTGCACATATTGATGTTGTCAGTTCAAGATGGCTCTGCTAACCAGGTACGAAAAGACAATAATGATATTGATATACTGAGCAGTTAGTCCTATTGCAGTGTGTTGCAGTGAATCTTTTGTCTTTTTCTGTTGGCTTTTTTCCCCCTTTTCTGATCCATTTGAAATTTTGTTATCTCTACACATATTGGCCTAAAAGCTTGCAGGATCAAGAAGGTATTCTAGTAAGGTACGATGTTGCTGCAGTTCAGTGCCAACCACAAACATTGTAAGATAGACCAGAAATGGAAGTACGATGTTTTAACTATTACATCCCAAAAGTATGTCTAGCATCACATTACATACTGTCTTGCTTCATGTTGCAAAACAAAATATGTTGGTTTCCAATGTGACTAAAATGGTACAAAGTTTTCTTTGATTCTATCTGGTGTAGAATTTTCTCAGTCTCAAACACACTTGTTTAAAGGTCAATCCATCTTCAATCATTTGATTCATGTTCAAAAGTTATCATCATCAATTGAGACAGCATCTGAAAGTGTTGTTCAGAAAATGTCTAGCAATTATGGCAAGAGTGTTTGGCTTCATCGGTTTGTATCATTCCTTTTACTGATTATTTAAAAGTAGAAGTGATAGGACCTTCAAACACTCTGTTGTACTTAACTCTGTGATTTTTTAAAAATGAAATTGAATGTGGATTGATTGTGCTCTCCTTTATCTTCACAGTTATAGTCAGAATGTTGTTACACACCGGTACTGATTTTCTATTTGTATATTTGTAATGAGTTTTATCTCTCAATGGCCACTAAGCAGGCTTGTGCTTTTGCAACCATTTTTTTGCAGTATTGCTACTTATTCAATTTTTTGCTCTTATAAATTCCATTGCAGTGTGCTTGTGTTCTGTATGTTGAAAATGAGCTTATGATGTCTTCATAGGTCAAAGTATTAGGCTCAAATGGAGCGAAGACAGTACAACTGATATAGAATTTTAATATTCCTCTATATTATAGGTAATCTAGTTGCAAAATGTTGCAAAAGTGTGTGTGTTTCTGTACGTAAGTGTGGATGTTAAGAAGAGAGTAAATTGAGGGGAGAACTCTGAAAACATACAAGCTGCTGTTATAAAGGTGATAAATATACTACATACATATGTTCTGCAGTTTGGCAATGTGGCATGCTTTCTGTCTTATTTTTGTATGCAATAACTTGAAATGTGGTTCTTGCCACTCTCCTATGCCATCACATTATCATACATTAATTTAAAGTTGTATAGCATTTGAATTTTAAAGAAGTTAAAATGAAACTATTTTCTTCTGTTATTTTTTGAATGTTAGATGCAGATATGAAACCATATGTTTTGAGGTGATGAGGATGTATTGAATTGATAGCTCTCAGCTGATGTGTTCATGAGTGGGTTTAAGTATTATGAACTCAGTGATTTACTTACATTCTATGAGAATGATAGCTTTATACATTTTAATGTGTCCCATGTAGGCAGAGCCTCAGGACTGGGTTGATGTCTAGGTCGACTCTCTAAGCGACCAACTTAATACTCTTACCAGATTCTACTTTCATGCTATCTGGGATGTTAGACAATACAGAATTTGTTATTACTGATCATATTAAGTGTATGAAGTATGTATTCCGATGCCTTAAATCAGTTATTGTTAAATTGTACATAGATTTTGAATTACTGTTGTAGAATTGTGCTCTTGATCCTTTATCTATGTTACTCGTTGGCTTTCCCAATGATATTATAATGTCAATTTGGATTTACTTCTATGATTGTGAGTATGGGAAACCAACTCATTGAGCTATGAAATGATAGCGTGAAACCATACATTCTTTCTCAAAGTGAAGAAGGCCATTTTTAAAGTCATATGAAATAACCTGACAAATGAGCACACTTTAAAAATGTGCCGTTAGATATTAAGAGTGCCATCTATGCTTTGTCAGTTTTCATCAAATGCCTATATTAGGCTTCTGGGATCTTTGAAAGAATGGACTGCAAACATGTCTCTACTTTCATTGCTGCATCATGTGTGTTAATTCTTCTTATTCTTCTAAATGCATTTTCTTGCTATAAATCCAAGATTTGCTTGCTGAACTTCTTATTCATGAACTATCAAATTATGTCGTGTTAAATAAGCTAAATTTTACTATCATCATAAGCTGAGCCCAAAAATTTACTCAAGGTTTTCACTAAACAATCATTTAATGGTGAAAATTTTGAACTACACATTGCGGGCTTTACATCTATCTCTTCAACATTCCAACAGGTTTCAAAATGTATGGTGGCTACTATGAATACTAATGATTTAAATAAGCAGATAATGTTGCTTGATTTTTATGAGATAGTCATTTACCATTACAATTTTTAGAAGCAACTGGTACCTGTATTGAGCACATTCTGTAATTAAACACTGAGAAAAAATTTTTACTGGAAGGATTTTTAAACTAGATGAGCATACCCTATACATGTTTCCTTTTTTTTTTTTTTTTTTTTTGCTATTTGCCTCTGAAATTATGAATTTTGAGAGGGCAGTTGTGTTGTTACTAAATCTCACTTGTCTGTGAAAAAATTACTGTCCTTTATTTTGGTTATGGCTGCTGCTCGTCACTGTGTGCTCTTCATGTTTAAGAATTCTTATGGTTTCATTTGTTTTCGTAGACTGAAGCATGGAAAATTAATGTACTCAATCTTTCCTCAATTTCCTCAAACCTCTCTTCTAAATTTCTTAAACTACTGTTGAGAACAACCTCAAGGCCTCAACACTTTTGGCCTCTACCTTATTGTGTTGAGGAATTTCACTATATGGGCACTTTGTTGAATATTCTATAAAATGCAAAGCCCCCAATCTTTATTCCATAATAAGAAAGTGCAAAGTGCATTAAGTTAACTCTTCTTTATTCATTTCTAAATTTATTTTGGACAGCTGTGAATATCTGCCCTATGTGAATCCTCTGAATTTGACTAAGGTGTGAATCATTTGACTATGTAAATGTCATTTAGACTGCTGAAGTGGATTGAAGTTCAATTAAATTAAATGAATTGTGTTCTGGTGACACACTATGGTCATCGTGGTAAATGTATATTTGATGATAATAATAAATGTAGTTTATGTAGCATTTAAGTTGTCCTATAATGTGTAGTGCCATTCATGAGGTGCGGCAGCACTATCAGTCAAAATAAATTATACCATGTCTTGGATTGTTTTAATGTTATATGTCCACTAAAAATCAACTTGATCGCAATAAATCATTTTGCTGTGCATACAAGTCTTCATTATCAGTCACCCAGGGCCCATTACTTGCTATTGCCACAAGCCTTGACACTGCATGCCAGCGCCTGCTGTGCTCATGCTTCTCTATGGCAGCCATACAGAACAGTTGCCACATATTGGTGTCAATGTGGACATCCCAAACCCCTCAGGCAAGTTCAGATAAAACTGTCAGCTCAGCTCGGCTGTTTGAAAATTGCGGTGAATTACTGCTTTTGAATTATTTCCGGTATGAGAAACTAGTTTTCTCGAAACACTGAATCTTATGGATCTATTAGGATCTATGGCTACCTTCTAGTGCAGACAGATTAATACCACATTTGCGTTGACTCTGTTGCAAATACAATTCGTCATCGTGTGGTTTCGGTTTCGCCCACTTGGAGCTTTTCTGAGAAAGGAGGGGCGGCCCGGGGGGGGGGGGGTGGAGTGGGGAGGAGAGCAGGGGGGGGAGGGGGAGGAGTCAAGAGGCAGGGTTGGAGTTGAACAGACGTTTGTTCTGTTATGTATTTTTTGTTTATGTGACTTAGTCCCTTGTTTCGTCGATTGGAGGAAATCATGGCTGGACCAAATCCCCATAGCATCAGTTCAGGGATTCCGTTGCGGAAAATTCCTGCTCAGAATATCGTTAACAGACTGATACGCCGTGAAATTTATGGTTATGTTAGACCCGGTACTCACTTTCATGTTGTGAGAGAATTTTATCAGAACGTTCACCCGAACTTCACAATTGTGAATGTTGAAAAGCCACCATGTTTCCTTAGAAAATTTAGCCCAGATGGCAAACATTTTGTGGCATTTTCATCAGACCAAACATCACTAGAAATTTATGATTATAGAGGGGCAGCAGCAGTTGCTGACCTCATACATCATTGCAAGGGAGAGTATGTTGGGAATAAAAATGATGAGAAGAGTGACAATATTAGAAGTCAAGCTTTTGATCGCTTCTTCAAGCTGAAGTGGACTGTGAATGTTGCTCAAAGTGGGGAACAGCTCAATCGTGAGTGCAGTTTATTCACTGATGATGGTCGTTTCATAATCGTTGGATCAGCTGCTTATTTGTCAGAAGAGCAACGGCCTTCATTTTATGAAATCTATACGAATAATGAATCTGTCACACCAAATCCTAGACTACCATTAGAGGATTACTCATTACACTTAGTTGATTTACAGGTATTGTGCAGGTCTTCATTTCTGTGGATAAAATGAGTGTTCAAAGTCTTGAGATCTATTTGTACTTTTCTTGTTTTGCAGGCTGGAAGGTTGTGTGACACCAAGCAGTTTAAAGTTGACAAGATTTTTCTTTCTCACAATCAAGGACTATATTTATATCGCGACACTCTAGCTGTTCTCTCAGTTCAACAACAGACGATTCATATTTTTAGAATAACCGATGATGGGGTTTTTACGAATGTACGATCCATAGGCAGGTTGGTATTGGTATTCTTTTTGAGTTAAAGAGCTATTTATTTTCTATATTCATAGCACACCTAACCTGTTCATTTTATTATACTTCCAGATTCTGCCACGACGATGATGATTTTCTCTTGTCATTGGTCTCTGAGATAAGGTCACCAGGCTTCAGTGGGGTCTCTCGTCATTTCAAGGAGCAGACAATTAACTGTTTGAAACATCGGTTGCTTTCATTCTTGTTCAAGCGAGCCCATAATTTGTCTGAAGAAGCTGGAAATGCATATGAGCTTAGAAAGTTTTTCCAATATTTTGATCAGGTGATTTGATTTAAAATTTTAAAATACATACATTGACATTGTGCACCTCGATCAAAGTTTTGCGTCACACAGCATATTTTTTTATTTTCCTGTTTCAGCTAAAAAGTTTAAGGATGTGGAAGATGCAATTAATTGATGAGGATCATCTTCTGATCAAATATGCTTGTGAGGATGTTGTAACTCTTCAAGCAGCTGAGCCCAATTCTCAGGCTTCGTTCTTTGCCTTTTACAGCATTTCTAAGGCAGAAGTATGGTTTTGATCAAGGTTCCTGCTGCTTGAACTTTTCAGCTCTTCCTCAGTCATTAATCAAACACTTTTTAATTTACAGATAATTGCAGTATTTGAAAATGCATCCAAGCAACTACTGACACTCTTTGAGAATCATTGTGACTCCTTCAGAAATACACGGCTAAACTCTGAGTGTCAATTTACATGTTCTCCCTCAAACAATATTTATGCTAGGTAGACAATATTTTTATGGATTAAGTTTTTCAACATGTTATTTTTGTGGGTCCTTATTGCTATGTCTACCTATTTCCAGGCTGATTCAACAGAGATTTAAACAGACTATTGTGTCTGCAAGATTTGGAGGCCCACGTGAAGCTACCAAAAGGCTTCTGGCACAACTACCAATCAGTGCTCAGTCTTACAGTTGTTCTCCTTACCTAGATTTGGCCCTTTTTAGTTACGACGATAAATGGGTCTCAGGTATGGAAAGACCCAAAGCATGTGGAGAGCATCCTATCAGGTACTGTATTGATTGTAGATATTGGGTGAATTAGTATTTTAAAATTTTTCATGTAGACAAAACTTATTTTGGTAATTTCCTTCCAGATTTTATGCTCGTGGCTCAGGCCTTCTTAAATTTCGAATATATGCTGGTTTCCTGGGCAAAAACCCCCCTCCCACCGCCCGTCAACTTGTGGCCTTCACTTTCCATCCAACCGACCCATTTGCAATTAGTGTTCAAAGAACTAATGCCGAATATGTAGTTAATTTTCATGTGCGACATGATGCAGTCGAAATGATGCAGCTCCAAAGAGCTGTAGAGTGAGATTTTTAAAAATAATTTCCATTGTTTAGAAACCAAATTTGTTTTGTTCGTGAACTTGAGTTTGACATAATCAAAAGGTTAATAGTGGCAAGACTTTGTATGTTCTTATATACTGACGTCTGTGATTTTGCTCATGTGATATTTAATTTTAAATGCCATTGTGCTAAGAGTAGAAATTTTTGTACATTTGTATTGTACAAGTTTAGGTAGTTGTTTGACAGCTCTCTTCAAAGATGGCAACTAATGAACATTATTATTGTTAAAAGATGAAAATGTTTATGACTGTCTCAACAGTATTATTTTTTAAAAAGCTGGAGATTAGTTAGGAATGTTTTCCTATTCAATTCAGCACTGAATTTAGTAAGAGAAAGTAACAGCGCCCAGTCAATTTTTAAACTTGACTTGAAAATTATTGTGGAAAAGAAACCAAGTGATTCATTATTTAATATGTTGGTATTTTGTCTTTGTCATTCTTTTTCTGTCACAGGATTCAAAGATAACAAAACTTTTCAGTTAATTTGTCATGTAAGAAATTTGTTGCATGTAGCTAAGACATCCTGTGGCTTTCACTTTGCAGTGCAATACTGGTGCATGTGCACCCAATCAAAATTTTTAAAAAGACATGTAACATGTCTCAGTCAAAATTAAACGAATTTCAATAGCACCTTGTGGTTTACCTTATTATTCAAATGACATCGCCAGTCCAGTACCAGCAAAGTGGAACGGCTTGAGGTCCACTCCGCGTCTCGGTGACCGCGGCGCGCACGCAACGCGTGCAGCAGACTGGCTTCAGAGGTTCGTCGCCCTGTCTCTGTCGCACCTACACGGTGTGCCCCATGAGTGCGAGAGAGACAGAGCGACGAAAACGACTCTGAGGCACGGCGCACGGCTCTGAGCGGCTGGCGCCGACAAGGACTTCCCCCGCCCCGCCCGGCTCCACGGCGAGCCAAGAGGGGCCAACGCGTGCCGCGCCGCATTGCGTCTGCTTGCGTTCGCTTCCCAGCTCTGAGCGCGCAGCGCGTGGCAGTCGTGCCTCCGCCGCCGAGCCTGATCCAGCAGCCCCAGCAGCGCTTTGCTCACGAGGCGTCGCTTGGCGTCGGCGCAGGACGATGCCGGCGGACTCGAGACCGGACGCCGCGGCGACGCTTCCTTCGTAGAGCGCCGAGTGGCCGTGCGCCGTGCCCAAAGCCCAAAGCACGCCGCGGCCCGGCAGGCAGGCCCGGCAGGCAGGCCCGGCCGGCCCACTCAGTGCTCAAGATGGAGGACAAGGCGAAGGCACTCGCTCGCCAGAACAAGGTAAGCCATTCGCACCGTCGGCCACCTCAGGCACGCACCCCGCCGTACCGGTGCCTCGTCCCCGCTCGTCCTCGCCGCGCCCGAGGGGTGGGCAACCCGGGCCTACTCGCGGCACTCGAGTACTGGATGCCGCTCTCTGGCAATAACCTTGAGCGTAAGGCGAATTAGCAGTGGTTCGCGACAGGACGAGGGGATGGGATGGGGGCAGAGGAGGCCAAGTCGAGCAGTTTCCTGTCGCAAATATTTCCTTTTCGCACAAGCCGGCGACTTCGGGGACTCTGGGCGTTTGGACGTTGCGGCCTCATTCGCTGTGTTGTGCTTCGCGGCTCCGCGCGTAGGCAGCAGGCTGCAGCAGCCTCATCGTCCGCCGTGGCGATGAACGTCCCGTGAAGCGGCACGCCCCGGTCCAGGATCCCGACGGGGGACCGGAGCAACTCGTGCTCTCGCGCGCCAGCAAGCCAGCCGCCCGGAGGCATGCGGGACAGGGTTCCCAGGGCCACGACGTCGACTCCGACCGCGGCCTGACGATCGGCCTGACGATGCCCGTCGGCAGTGGACTACGCCGCCTCTCCTCGCGCTTCCTGGACGAGGACGAGGAGGACGCGGAGTTGCTGCTGGACCAAGTAACGACCTGGCGGGGCTGGCGGGCCTGGCGGGGTGGCCGTCGAACCCTGCACTGCAGTCGGCAGGGGCGGGAGAGGGCTGGGGACAACCAATCTCACGCCCTTGGTGGCCGCCAGCCCCGCCAGCCGCCACACTCTAAGATCTGAGGTCCGTTGACGTGCTGGCGCGGCTGGCGCGGCTGGCGGACGGCATTCAGCGCCTTTAGCATGTTTTCGCTCCCCTGTCTCTAAGCGTCCCGTCGTCCCGACCCGGCACCTGACTGAGGCTCGTAGACTGATACTGCGCAGTGCACACGACTGGGTATTTGTTATCTTTTGTAGTAGGTCAAGTCGAGGAGGCCCCGCGTACCTGTCTTCGGGTTGGGCGTAACTTGTTATCGCCTGCCTTACGCGTCGGCCGTCTCGGCCGTCGGCGGCGAGTCGCATCACTGGGCGCGCCTCGCCCCGCCGCGGCCGTGGGGGCCGTGGGGGCCGTGCCCGCCCAAGGGCGCCTGCTTACAGCCTGCTCCCTGGCCTGCTCCAGAGCCGGACCGGACCGCGCCCGGCGTAGCGGACGACCGTCCGAATGCAGCCCGCCTGGGGCTCCTGTGTCTGCACACTGTACAGTGCTTCGTCGTCCTGTCTCTCTTATGTCACGGGACACCCACGAGTGCGCGAGAGAAAGAGCGACTGAGCCACTGTTCGGAGTCAGCCTTCGCACCTGAGTGGCCGGGCGGGCCTAGAGGCGGGCCTAGAGGCGGGCCTAGAGGCGGGCCCACCAGTGGAGCGGCCCGCGGACAGCGCGCTGACAGCAGACCGGCAACAGGACAGACTTGACTTGCGCCGCTTGCGCGTGAGGCCTAAGTAGGCATTAAAACGACGCGCGGCATACAGTAGTGGGAGGCACAATGGCACGGCTTGTTCGGCCTGGCCCCTTCGGCCCGCAGCCTCGCAGCTTGCCACAAAGAACTGGCCGGCAGAGAGTCTCTCTCGCACTCATGGGGCGTGCCGGCGTGCCGTACGGTGCGAAAACGACTGCCGGATTCGGTCTGCTGTGTGGACGTGGACGACGTGGACCCACCCGGCTAGAAAACGTTGAGCGTAGTGTTCGAAAATTCCCGGGAACAATCATTTGGGGGAATATTCCCGAGACTTCCCGGGAATTCCCGGGAATATTCCCACTTGGCCGGGAACATTGCTTCATATGAAACCGATCACATTTGACAAAAGTTAAATTTCTGATACAAATTTTTATTGACAAGAAGCGAACTTTTTATTACGACACGTTTCATTTTGTTCTCTTCTGAAACAAAAATAGAAATACACTAAAGTGTTTCATAATTATTAACTTGATACCTTGCACTTTCTACATTTTCCGCGCAAAAAGTAGCTATTTTTGCCATTTTTTAAAAATTCCCGGGAATTTCCCATTTTTTGGGTCTGATTGTGCCCGGGAACGTTCCTGGGAATTCCCTAAATTCCCGGGAATATTTCTACCCTTTAGAACACTAGTTGAGCGCGATCGCGGCCAAGGCGTCGACCTCGGCCGGAGCAGGAGGGACTCTTTTGGCAGTCGCAGGGCGTCTCTCAACTTGCGTATAAATTACGTATTTGCATACGCGCGAGGAACACAAACATTTTTAACTTTCGAAGAGGCTTTTTGTATGTTTGGTGCAGTCGATCTGGAGTTGCAGGAACGCCGCGGTTGATGTCACAGTCCGCCTAGCCTGTTGAATCTGCGGTTTTCGTTCGGTGTCGTTGTTTGCTCGGGCCGACTCGCCTTTCCTCCCGTGAGCTCCGCAAACACTAATTGCTCGTGGCCGCGGTTCGCCGTTCGCGAAGCTCGAGTTGTCTCAACGCGCGGCTGTGCCTGGCTGTGCCTATTTGCCATCGCTTATTCCCTGATAGTGCGGCCCGGCTATGCGATACCGGAGCACGGGTCATTAGGCGGCAGGGCGCTCCGTGAGTGCGAGAGAGGCAGAGCGACCAAGCCGCGGCACAGCGGGCCTGAAGACCGGCGCAGGCGGTCAAAATCCCGGACGCATTTTGAGCTCCAGAGTCGCTTAATGGGACTCGAACCGAACGTATGACCCCTCCAATGGATTGCCCTCTGAACGAGGTGGGTCTTACGTTCGCTTTGATTACCACTTAGCGACTCTGGAGCTCAAAACGCGTCCGGTATTTTGACCGCCTCCACCGGTCTTCTGGCAAATCCACTGTGCGCGGGTCGCACACGAGTCGCACTAGTCGCGCAGGTCGTACTTCGCTCCGCAAAGCAAAAGTGGCAGCTCTGGCGGACACTCTCGGAACTACGTCGGGCAGAGGGTACGGCTGGTCTCGGAGGTGCGTGGAGGGGAGGCACGCACTGCTCGGACACTGCACCGTAGCGCACCGGAGACCAATGGACCCTTTACATCGTCCTCCTGGCTAAACGAAGTCTTTAAAGAAAAAAGACATCGGGATCAAAATTGTAGAGCTTACCGCTACACTATAAACAAACCAAATCCGAATCCAATCGGACCAATAGCGACGTCTCTATGACAAAAAGTCTGTTTTTCAGAAAATCTGTTGGCTTCAGAAAACGGTTTGAGGTTTTCAAAATCAGTTTTCGGCACATGATAGTCCTCGACGAGCCTCACAATCGCCTCGCTTTGACCCCCCATAAATTTCGACTCCTTCCCCCTGAAAAACGCGATGCAAAATAACCAACTGCGCGCTGCCAAGAGTCCAAACGCTTTTACTAACACATTTCTGAAACAAATAATTGTTTCGGAACACGAAATAGTGCCTTTTTATCTTCAAGATTTTTCCTATGATATGGAAAAGACTGCAAGTCGATACGACTTCGGATAAGCCCTAAAAAAGGTGCCGAGTGCGAGGTGGTCGGTGTGCATTTTTGAAGTCCGGTCTAGCCTGGCGCCGGAATGCATGCGCAGAAGAGTGCGCAGAGCGCTGATCCCGGAGCTCTGCCAGAGAGGTTAGGATCTTCGAAGTTTTACGTTTTAATGTCATTTTAGCTCGATTTTTACAGTACCCCGCGTGGAGGTTGGTCTGTGTGGGAACATTGAATAACTAGGGCGAAAATTTACGAGTAATCTCACTCAAATGTAGCATACTAAGACATCGCAAGCACGGAGCCGAACCGGCGCGGACCAAGGCAGGTGACGAGTGACGAGGCCAAGACCCGCTTCACCCTGAGGCCGCGCGCGACGGTGCTGCCATCTAGCGGTAGCTTTGCGGGGCGACTAGTCGTTTTTCCCAAGCCGCAGGTCGCTTTGCGCGCGAACGTGGGCCGCGGCCGGAGTGGGGGGGAGGGAGAAGCGAAACGCAGGGATAGATGGGTAGATGGTGGATCATCCGCAGCGTGGGCCACCACGTGCTCCCTGTTTGCCCACTCATACAATGTGGCCAGTGCGTACTAGCGCGTACTGCGTAATGGCGAGGTGGGCGGGGGCCGGCGGGGGCATTTGAGGGGTGCTGCACTACACAGTCTCGTCAGCCTATCGTCTGTGAAACGTCAACACGCGCGGCGCGCCGCCTTGCGCCTCAAAGCCTCAAAGCTCAGTGAGACGGCCGCCAAGAACCACAGGGCGCCGCGCAGCGCTGCGTTCTGCTTTGGGATCGCTTCCGCCGCCGAGGGTGCCCTGCACGCTACGCCCCGCGCTCGGCGCCCTTGTGCCCACGGCCAGCCCACGGCCCCGGGATGGCCCGGATGGCCGTCCTGCTCCCGGGGCACTGCTCCTGGCGGCCCCTGCACGCCGCCTTTCTGGTCGGCTGCCAGCAGGTAAGCCGCGGCGGGTTCGTTTCCCGGCCTCAGGACTGCGCAGCACTGCAACTGTGCGACGGACCGGGCCGGACGAAGACGAGGACTGTCACGCCCAGCCCGCCGCGTCCGACGCCAGCGGCAACGGCAACCCACTGGACAGCGGGGCAAGATGGGCTGCCGCGCCGCTGTCGCGGGCGTCGCGTCGCCAAGCGTCGCGAAGGCGGTCCGGCGGTCCTCGCCAACAACAAGTTACTGACCAGCTGAGCGCGTTTGCTTTGCTTAGGGGTCAAGTTCCTCCTCTGCTAAAATTGTGGTTACTAAAGGCGAGCCAACTCGACCCATCCCCACAAACTGCCTCCACACCCTCGCTTCGCCCGCCGCCAGCCTGCCGCCGCAGGGCATGGTCAGTAACGGTCAATGGTCAGTTGCGGCAGTAGCACGCTCCAGCTAGCAGGAAGCAGCAGCAGTCAGACACCCCCCCCCCTGCCCTCCACCGCCCGCGCCGCCGCCCTCCAAAGCGCACCCACCTCACACCACCTCGTGCGGTAGCATCGCCTACGAGGGGGTAAACACTCGCGTAATACCCTGTACACAAAAATCGTGTATTACGCGTTATGCACGTAATTGTAATACCATTTTTGGGCCAAATATGCGAAATTTTGGCATTTTAATGCCGTAATACACGTGTAATACCCCCGTAATGCAGCGTAATACCGAGTACTCTGTACACGATTTCTTAGAGTGTTTACCCCCTCGATCGCCTAAGCTTCGAATATCAAACGGCTTGGTCAAACGCCTTTGCACTTGACGTTTTTGTTTTTATTTGGGCTTTAGTGCTCAGCTCATCCATCCTGGCCTTTGCCCACAGGTCGTCCCGGGCGACACCAGCGCCCCCCAGCGGCCTGCCCCTGGAGCAGCGGCGCCCCTGCACGGCCAGCACCTCGGCGTGGGCTCCCCGCTGAACCCCCTGCGGCCCACGTCCCAGATCTCCTGGGCGGACGGCGTGAGTGAGGATGACGACTACTTCGCCAGCCTGGCGGCGTCCAGGGCGAGCGGCACGCCCAGGGGCAGCGCGTCCACCGTGTCCGTGGCGTCGAGCGCGGGCCGCGGCACGCCCGGCACGCCCGGCACGCCCGGCACGCCCTCCGCGGGGTCAGCGGCGGCCGCGGGGTCGGCGGGCCCTTCCGCTGACAGGAACGTCCGCCAGCAGCGCGGCGGCTCGCCGCCCTCGGACGAAGACGCCGCCGCGGACGCGCCGCTGCTGGGCGGCCAGCCGTCGGGCCGGCCGGCGGTGGTCGTGACGTCACCGACGTCACCGCAAGGACCGCCGGCCCCTTCCTGGGTGGCGGTGGACGTCCCCGTGGGCCCCGCGGGTCCCACCAGCCCCACCAGCCACGCCACGGAGGCCAGCGACCTGGTGCAGCCACGGCGGCGCATGCACCGCCGGAACTCCATCAGCATGCCCAGCCTCATCACGGGGGTGGAGCTGGACGACGAGCCCAGGGTGAGTACCCAGCGCCCGCCTCGGGGCGGGGGTCAGGAGGAACTTGGCGCGGGCGGGGAGGCCGCGCGGTTGACCGCTGCACCTCGCCGATGTGGAGCGGACGTCCATTAGGTAGCCAGATCAGTGCGTTAGTCGCTCGGTCTCTCTCGCATTCTTGGGTCGTCGCGTAGGAGTGCGAGAGAGACAGAGTCTCCAAGTGCTGTTCGGAATCAGGCCGCTGCCCGCGCCTCGCCGCGCCTCGCCGCGCCTCGCGCCAGATCCAGGCAGAAGGCAGACTCCCCCGTCAGGCAGTCAGGCCGTCAGTGTCCGCCGTGGGCAGCGCGCCGTCCTGGTCGCCTGGACGCTCCGCGCTCCGCTCCGCCTGGCCGCGCTTCGCAGGCTTCGCAGCACGGCGTCGTCGCCACCAGGCGTCCCGTCCACTTGGCGGACCGGCCGCCTCGGTCCTCGGCCTGGGCGGACGCCTGGTCGCCTGGTCGCCCGGACGGTCTTGGCGGTTTGCTCGGGAGATTACTCGTAATCTCGGCCAGTGCCGCACGCTACCCGCCGCCCGCTCAGTGCTGGTCCCGCCGAGGGCCGCGACGCCATGCCGCGCGACGCCGTGCCGCGCGACGCGAGGGACGCGAGGGCGGTGGCCGTCAGGGTGAGTTGAGGGTCCCCTCGTGTCGGTCAACACCGGGGGGCGGGGCCGTTGTGCGCGAACGCAGCTTTGCTCGGTTTGAAAACCGCCTTGTGGGATTTAGTGTTTTTGAACCCCGAGTTCCAGAGCCTATTTCGAGCCAGCCGGCGGAAGCGCAGGCAGGCCAACTGGGGAAGAGTAAAAGTGCGCCGGCAGAAGACCGCCTCATGCTTCGTGTTGGGGACCCTCTAGATAGTGTGTACTGGCCCCGGTGTTACGGTGTACCCCCACCACCGCGAAAACAAATCAAACAGCGCGAAGACCACGTGCTGGGTATTTTGCCGCGAGCAACGAGTCCACAATGTAGTCAGTCAATGTGCGATGACAGGTGGGAGCCTCGGCACCTAGCACGGCGGGCCAGTCTCGTCTGGGACGGTGAAGAGTGTGGTGGTGATGGCTCGGCGCGCTGGCTCGTGAAAGTGCAGTGGTTACTACGCCTGGTTTCAAGCGTAAGACTGTGTTCCTTTCCTCTTGCGCTTACCTAAAGGCACGTTAAAATTTCTTCTCTAGGCCTATGCTTGGCTTGACTTCACGCGCTAAGTCTTTAAGCGTAGTGCCGGCTTGATGGATTGAGCGGACGCTGTTGGAGTTCGAGTGCGAGGCCGCGAGTGGGGCGTCGAACGAGCTTCCTCTGGCTGGGGGCGCAGTCTGTCTGGTCCGACCAAGTCGCAGGTGCAACCAGCCAGCCAGCCAGCGTGTCGGCTGGGACTCGGACGCTCGGACACCGCGACACCCTACACCCGCGCCTATGCACCGTGCGACGCGGTGGCTCTGGCTGACGTAGCCTAGCGTAGAGCATGGCCCAACCTTTCGCCACCCGAAGCCCGGGCCGAAAGGGAACGTCCGTCCGGAAGGCCCACTGCGCCGAGCCACGCCTAGCCACGCCAAATCGCAGCGCTATTCTGGCGTCCACGGAGCCATACAGTACCAAACGGTCTAGGACCTGCTGCCGCGATTGCTGCTGCGGTTGCACGCGGTTGGCGACAGTGTAGCCGCGGCAGCAACGCGGCGGGACATTGAATGGAGCCCCAAATGGGGAGTGTCACGTGAGTACAGTCCGTGCCGCCGTGCCGCGCCGCCCGGCTGGCTGGGCCGCGGGCCGCGGACCGCGCCGGAGACTTCCTCCCCGTCCTCCAGGCCGCCGCCACGCCGAGCGCCACGCAGTGCCAGGTCGCTAGGTCGCGGCGTGCGTAGCGCTGCCGACGCCACGCCGACGCCACGCCGGACGGGACGCCCTGCCCTGTCCCTTCGCTCCGCCCGCCTTGAGGCCTTAAAGCCATGCCGGCCATGCCGGCCATGCCGCGCTCAATTGGCTTGATTCACCGCGCGGCCGCCTCCCTCGCTGGAATTGCTTCCCAAGAGTTGCAGATCACTTTCAGTGTCTAGACCACCAACCGTGCGCGAAGAGACCAGCACCTCTAGTGCCTCACCTCGGCCATGGCTGTGGGTGTGGCGGGGATGGTCTTCCACTGTATGTCTGCGGCGGCGGTGGCGGCTCCGCGCCGGCGGGGTAGTCCACCAATCTAACCGAGCGCTTTGTCTTGCAGATGCCTGACCGTAACCACAACGATGGCTACAACACCAGTGACACCTTCAGCGAGAACGGGTCGGACGACGAGGAGGACCAGCGGAGAAGGTGAGGGTGTTGGTGTCCTCCGCGACGACAACGCCGTGCTTGGCGTGCTTCCAGTGCCTCAACGCCTGCTTCGTGTTGCAGTGTCGCGAGCGGGATGGCCGTCTCGGCGGCGTCGAGCGTCAGCAACGGCGGGGTGCCTTCCTCCGGGGGCGTCAGCCGGTCGCGGAAGTCCAGGTCCGCCATGTCCATCGGCGGCGTTGAGGAGCTGGGGCTGGAGTCGGACCACCCCGACCTCAGCTCGCCGGCCAACTCCATCACCTCGATCAACTCCATCTCGTCGCTGCTGAAGGAGAAGTTGGCGGTGAGTATGGCCATTTGTTTACAAAGTGGCCGCCAGGTCGACTTCCGCCACGTCCACCTCCGCCCCCGTCTGCCGCTTCGCGATCTCACGGTTCGGTTCAATCCGGTTCCCTGTTCGGCTCGGCTCGGGTCGAGTATCATCGGATGGCCGGGTGGACGGTGTCATCGCGGCGGGGACCGCGTGGACCCCCAACCCAAAACAAGCCGACCGAATCGCGCGCGCATTTGGCCGGGACTCGCTTTGTGGGAATGGAAATGCGGCTCGACCCGGTCTGTTATCAGTGTCGTGCCGACGTGCCGATGCGCCACCCAAGGCTCGCCGGCCCATGTGCCGGCAGAGTTGTTGTTATCGGAGGAGAATCGCCGCGACAACCCGTCCTCCCCGCGCCGCGCTGCACCGCGCCACCACGCGGCCGGCACGCCACGGCACGCCACGGCGCGGCCCCGTTGGGGCGCCGCCGTCCCCACGCCGTCCCCGCGTCCGCGCCCGCGCCTCAGTCGGCCCGTGCCGGCAGTGCTATGAACTTGTCCGCCCCTGCTGCCGCGCCGCGGAGTACTCGTGTGAACCGCCATGGCGGTCCAGGGCGGCCACGACGGCGGCCACGACGGCGGCCACGACGGCGGCCACGACGGCGGCCACGACGGCGGCCCCCGCGACGCCCTCCTCCGTCAAGAGGACGCCTACGACCCTCAAGCGACGCTGCCGATCCGGATGCCACCGCGACCCCTCGGCCCGGTGCCCATCATCAAAATTGAACTGGTCGAAGACGAGCCCGCCAAGCCCGCCAAGCCCGTCAAGGTGCGTCGTCGTCGTCGTGGTGTCGATCGCGCGGGTTTGAGTCCCAGTGCCGCCGCGCCGCCGCGCTGCCGCGCCGCCGTTGTGCAGTGGCGACCGAGACCGGAGGAACGCAATGCACCGCAATGCAGGGCGACGCCTAGGCGACGCGACCTTGGAGTGCATCTCTGACGTCTGTCTCGGCCCTCTCCGCCTGCTCCGCCTGCTCGCAGTGTGCCAGCCAGCGTGGCCGCTGCGATGCGAGTCCGCTGAGTCGGAGGGGCCAGAAAGGCGCGCCCGACTGGCTGGCAGTGCTACGTGCTCGCCGTGCATTTTCCCCTCCGTCGAAAATGAAAATGTGCTGACAGAAGAGAAGTGCTTTATCTTGTCGAACGGCGACCACGTGGAAACGGACCGGGACGGACGCACGGCTGACAGGTGTCACATTTTGACGAGTGTGGGCAGCAGTTTGCCCGGCAGCTAAGTCGTGGTGGTAGACTTTTAAAGTTCCGACTTGCTGCAGATGTCGCTGCCCGCCATGCTCAAGAGGCACAGGAAGCCCGAGTACAAGTTGCGAGGCTTCGTCGCCTTCCTGTTCCTGTGTATCGTCTTCCTCGTCGGCTTCGCCCACGTCTACTACAACCAACAGGTCCTGCAGGTGAGCGACGCGCGGCCCGGTAAAGGACGGTCCCTGCCGTTTACCTGCTTTACCGCGGCTCGCGTGTTTCCCGCGCTAGCTGACGTCAGACACGGTGACGTCAGAGCCGCAGACTCGGCCTGGGGGCAGTGCGCATTAAGTCATGTCGTCTTGTTCTGGCAGAGGGCCTACTTCGACCTGATCCGGCTGAACCACATCGAGCGCGTGCTGCGCGTGTACAACGACGAGGGCGCCGAGCTGCTGCGCGGCGAGCTGGGCCGCTTCCTGCGCGACTCGGACAAGGTGTACTCGTGCCTGTCGCAGCACGAGCGGAAGGGCATGTACTGCATGGAGTGGATGGGCCGCGCGCGCCTCTACCTCAAGTACGAAGAGCAGAGCAAGGTAAGAACGCCGCCAGTTCCACTCCCGTCCCGTCATCCGCGGTTCGGTTTTGTTTTTATTTTCAGAGCAGGTGCCGCCTGGGAGGTAGGCAACGCGCATCACTAAAAGGCTGCCCAAACCACTATTTCTACACATTTATCAGAGTTTTGACCAAAGTTGGCGCTTGTTGCAGACTCCGGACGAGTGCTCCAAGCCGCCCTGCGTGGAGTACCGCTGCTACCACACCGAGTGGGTGGCGCTGGCCGACGACGTGTACCCCACGGACTGCTTCGACCTGACGGCGGTGGGGGGCGCGGAGGCGCACTGGTACGGCGGCGGCCACTCCGCCGGCATGCACTGGCCGCTGGAGAAGGGCCGCGTCACCTGGGCGCCCTTCCTCACCGGGGACTCGGTGCGGCGCGACCACCAGTGGGGCAACGTGCTCAAGCGCTTCTTCATCTCCTCCAAGGGCGTGGCCATCACCGTGGACCCACTCACGCCGCTGCACGTGTCCGCCAACCAGTACAACGACCGCGAGCTGTGCCTCCAGGTAAGCCCCGGCCTGAACGAGGCGTGCAAGTCCGTTTCAGTCTCACCGGCGTAACCTCCACGCGTTCCCCCAGGCCCGGTACGACGACTTCGCGTTCGTGCGGCCCACCCCCGCCACGCCCGCCAAGCTCAACTACTCCCTGTGCACCGTGTCCACGGGCAACATGAAGGACCTGCACCAGCACCTGTCCGAGAAGAGCCTGTGGGACGGGCTCAAGGAGTCGGACGTGGAGACCGTCAACACGCTGCTCACCGAGCCCGTATGGCAGATCGCGCCGTCGGAGGCGGACCTGCTCACGGAGCAGGCCATTCTCAACTACACCGAGGACGTCATCTCGCTCGGCTTCTTCAGGCAGGGTCCGTACCCAGCGTACAGCCGCCCGATCCGCAGTGGGCTGGAAGACCGGTGGAGGCGGACAGAACTGAAGACGCCTTTTGAGCTCGAGAGTCGCTAATGGGATTCTAACTGATCGTGTGACCCCACCAATGGATTGCTCTCCGAACGAGGAATCCCTTGGTGGAGTCACACGCTCTGTTCGAGTCCTGCTTAGCGACTCTGGAGCTCAAAATGCGACAAGAGTTGGCCGCCAGTTGGTCTTCGGGCAAATCCACAGTGTGATCTCGGAAGGTCGTTTCGTCTGCCCCCTGGGGTGTCCCGTGGGAGTGAGAGAGACGACACCTTGGTGATGAGGCCACGCGCTTCTCCTCCGCAGGACACATCCTGGTGAACGAGTTCTGGCAGGCGAACGTGGGCGACATGGCGATGGACGCGTCGCGCTTCCCCTCCATGAAGGAGACGATCGAGATCGTTCACCGGCGTGGCTTCCGCATCGCCTTCACGCTGCAGCCCTTCATCGGCACCGAGTCCATCAACTTCCGCGAGGCGGTGCGCCGCAAGCTGCTGGTGGGCACCAGGATCCCGAAGAGCGGCAGCGGCGGCGGCGCGGAGTACGTCCCCGCGCTGAGCCGCTACCGCAGCCTGCTCAGCGCCGCCACGCTCGACGTCACCAACAAGCGCATGGCGCCCTGGCTCAAGGAGATGGTGGAGGACCTGCAGGCCAAGTACGACATGGACTGCTTCTTCCTGGACCTCGGCGTGGCGTACGACCTGCCGTACCACTACAAGTTCCAAGGCCCGCTCACCAACCCGGACCACTTCATGACAGCCTTCACCGAGCTCGTGCAGGTAGGCGCCGTTCCGGCCGTCCCGGTTACACTGTTCCCGGCAGACCGTCCACCAAACTTGGGAAACACTTTTTTGACTTGAACCGGGGCGTTGCAGTCGTCCGTCAAGGTGCTGGGGGTCTCCTCGGCCATCGCACGGCCCCGCGCCCCCACCTTCGTCACCCTGCCCGCCGTGCCGTCCACGTGGAAGGGGCTGCAGTCAGTCATCCCCACCATCCTCACCTACGGCATCATCGGCTACCCCTTCATCATGCCCGGCGCGGTGGGGGGCGACTACGACGAGGAGGTGAGTAACCGCCATGACGACAGCACTTCACTTCGGAGCACAAATTTTGTGACCTAGTTCAAACAAGAAGAAGCAGGAAAGGAGGGATGTGAGTCGAACGCCTGGGAGGTAGGCATCCCGCCCGCGCGCGTGCACACTGGCCGGAGTGGCTGCCCACCTCGCAGGCGCCATGGCTGGACCGTCCCGAGTCGTGAATGTTGTCTCCTTGTTGCCTGCAGCCCTCCAACGGCAACGGCACGACGTCGGCGCCCTACCCGGTGGGCCGCAACCTGACGACGACGCCGCCACCGCGCGTGCCGGTGGTGGCGGCCGCCTCGCTGGAGGAGGCCCCGGAGGGCGACGGCTCGTCGGGGGAGGCGCTGGGACTGGGCCTCGGGCTGGGCCTGGGCGGCATCGGGCTGGGCGCGGGGCTGGGCGCAGGCCTGGGCCAGGGGCCGGGCGCGGGCGCGGCCCTGGGGCTGGGCGTGGGGCCGCCCCCCGGCGAGGAGGAGCTGCAGGAGGTGGTGCGGCTCGCCGACATCGAGCTCTACGTCCGCTGGATGCAGCTGGCCACCTTCCTGCCCGTGCGGCGCTACACCACGCTGCCCAACAAGTACGGCTCCGAGCTCATCCTGGAGAGCGCGCGGTCGCTGACCAGCCTGCGGCAGAAGACGGTAAGTACCGCCTATCTTTGCGACGTTTGCTGGGATGAACCGTGGCTGAGCTCATGTTCGTTGGCGGCTTGGCGGCGCAGGTGAACCCGCTCTTCAAGAAGTACGTGCGCGAGGCGCTGGACTCTGGGCTGCCGCTGGTGCGGCCGCTCTGGATGCTGGACCCGCTGGACCCCTCGTGTCGCCTCATGGCGGACGAGTTCTCCATCGGCGAGGAGCTGATCGTGGCCCCCGTGCTGCAGTCGGGCTCCACCGAGAGGGAGGTGTACTTGCCGGCCGGAGTCTGGAAGGACGGCATCGACGGCAGCCTCAGGAAGGGCAGCCGCTGGATCCACATGTACAAGGTGACTCGCAAGTACGCTCTCCCTTTCCACACTTTGAACCAGTTTTCTTTAACACTTTGCGTTCCTAGGTTCCTCTGGATAAAATCGCCTTCTTCGTGAAGATGCCCGACAACACCCGGTTTTGATCGAACGCCAGCCATAAAGACACAGTCCTGTTCCTATTATTTTTATTATTGAAGCAATTGTCAGACGATGCTTGCATCATGAAGCTTTGATGTGCTGTGAGAATAAGGACAAGCGGGAGACGGAATGGACAATTCCGTGGCTACCTCGGAGGAAGGTGAAAAAAGTTGTGCAACAGTACCATCGCGTCTTTGAAATAGTTCTGGAGTAGTCTGCTGAGACATTGTAAATATAGCTTAAAAAATTCTCCAACGATAGTATAGTAAGAAATTAATGAGAGATGAGACGATGACCAACCATTATTTGTAAATATTAGTTGTTTTTAGAAATACTGTAACTGCGAAAGATCTTGTTTGGTTTAAGAAGTAACTCTTAATTCTGTCAAATATTTCTTCTAGTGCCAATGAAATGAGGCTAGTTTTGCTGTTCATTTGCTTTATTTTTAAGAGCTGTGATTACAATCGCTGTGTGTAGCTGATAATAATTTCCCGGTGATTTATGATATTTAGTGTTTTCTGAGCTGTGATGAGTAGTTCATTGATGACTGAACCGCAGTGAGTTACAAGTTAATTTATTTTTGGGGGTGCTGGAGCGGATCAACCGAGGGATCAACAGTGCCAATTTTCCATTATTAGTACCCCAGCTTAATAAGTCAAAACGGAAATTAATTTAAGTTAAGGGGTGTTATTCGCTGGAATGAATAATCATACCCGGTGAATCATAAGCATAATTAATTTGTAGCCGGTGCTTACATTTATCAACAAATCTGAATTTTCAGTGATCAAGGAATTTGGATTTAGGGACACATCCTAAAAGACCCGCAGGGCTCCACTTTGTACATACAAAATGCATTTTTAAAGTATTTTAATTGTGATAGAGATGTGATTGTTTTAGTGAGTAAATAAACGTACAGTCTTCGTTTCCGACAGTCCGAATTTGATATTCTTATTTGCCCTTCTACCGAACCAATGAATTTAGATAGATGTCTGTGTAGAGTCGAACGGGTCGAGACTGCCTCTCTCGCACCCCGACGGACCGCCCCGTGATGGCGACGGGAAGCAGCCCTGCTCGGGACAGTCTGCCGGCAAGGCCGGCAACACCCCGCGCGAGGGGCCGTGGAGTATCGGCGCGACCCCCTGGCGCCCGGCTGCCTCAGCCCCTCAGCCTCCGCCGTCGAGTCGAGTCCAGTCCGTCGGCAGTCGGCCCAGCGCGTGGTCGAGAGGGGTGCGGTTGTCCGGGCGCGTGCGCCTCGTGCGCCCCCCACACGTGCGTGCTTCCTCACGACCGCGGCGGTGGCAACGGTGGCAACGGCCACACAGCACGGCCTGCTTCGTCCGGATTTGGACTGGACTTGGACTCCCCGTCCCAACGCGGCCAAAGCTTGCTGCGAATGTTCGTCGCCGTGTCACGATCCCTGCGGCCGCCCCAAGGGCCGCCAGCGCTGCCGGCTCTCCTCTCAGGCTGAGCCGTCTGGCGAGGACGGTCGAAAGGGGCAAGCTGTCTCAGCGAATCACAGCAGAGGAAGGCATTCGGTAATAAATACTTTTGGTTGGAATGATTGTCTGTTCTCACCACGATGGTTCGTCCAACTCACTGGCTGCTGCACGCGAGCGGTTGGCCCGCTGCCCCATTCAACAAGCTTCGCTTGTTTGTTTACGTTTCTGCCGACTCAAATCAGAGAGTCCCAGTGCTTGTCTCTTTTTTGTCGCGGCCCCATAAGTCTACCCTTGCCAATATTCCAGATCATGAAAAGTGTGTGTCTCGAAAACAACAGCGATATCCCGAGAAATACCCTGTCGACGGGCACCCCATGAGAGGTTATGTGCCCTAAGCGAAAAGGCGCGGGAAAGTGCTTGGCTGTTGGGGGCCAACCGCCATCGTTCACATCTCGCTCTTATTTTATGAAAGTCCGGTGAGATGTGTCTAGTCGTGTTGTCTCTGTGGGGGAGGGCATGAATTCTCGGTTGACATGGTGGCAATAGTCATATACGCAGTGGCGGTTTGAGTGCCGGGCCTAGTAAACGCCATGGAGGACAGGGACTCGCCATAAATTGCTTTAGGCGAGGGGGTGCCGAGAGCAGGGGCCCAGGGCTTGCCCGGGGGTGGGGGACTTGACTACGTCGCACCTCTTGCATGTATGAAAAATGGCGGCTTTAAGGGTCTTGACGCCGCCGTGTGAGTTATCTCGCTACTTTCTTGCGCGAGTAAATCCCTCAATCTATAACTTGGCGCTGGGCGGGCGGGGCCCAGGCCCGCTGGCGACAAATTCGATTCAAATGTAGCCGCGCTGCCGGGAGACAGTTTGATTAAGCGGGGCAAGCGGGGCCACCGCGGAGCCGCTCAGCTCGCTCAGCGTCTCGTCGCTCGTCTCTCTCGCACTGAGTGCGGCAGTGAGTGCGAGAGAGACGCCGCGTCAGGACAGGCAAGGGCGGCGGAGCGCCGAAAAGGCGCCAATAGTGCTGCTGAGGTGAGAAGACGAAATGGCCAGCGAGACAAGGGGGGGGGGGGAGAGTTGAAGACAAACTCCGCACCAAACTCCTTCCTTTCTCGCACGAGGCCGGGCGATAGCAGGGCTGCCGCGACAAGCATTTTTCGTCGTGTCACGTTGACAAATATGGAGTTCTTTCCATGTGTGAAAAGTAATCCCAGCAGTGGCAAGACGGATCGCTTCGCCGGCCTGGCCCCAGCCTCGCGGCCTCGCGCGCGCCCTCTGCATCTGGAGAGCGGGCCGCTTTTCGCCGCGGCCGCGCGCGGACACGATTCCGAAAGCGCCAACCTCCACCGCCGAACCATGCCGAGCCGCCTTCGCGACCACACTGCTTGACACGAGTCTCACTTCCGTCGATGCGGGCGATGCGTCCGGATTGCCCTAATGAAGGGGTGGGGAGGGTGGACCCCTGCTGCATATTCGCGGCGTTTCGAATCAGGACTCCAATAATCCGATACGCCGGCCGGCGGGGCTGGGCTGGGCTGTCGCCGCCGGGCGCCGCGGTCCGGATTCCTTTGACGGCCGCCTGGCGGGTCTGGCTGGGCTGCCCCGCCCGCCTGTCATAGGCGTGATGATAAGGGCGCCCGGCCGCCCCGCCACCCCCTGGCCGTGATCTGGGGCACGACGTCCTGATAACGCTTCAATTTGTGATGAAAGCCGCCAGGCCGCCGCGCCGCAGCGCCGGGCATCTTTACGGCGGTTTGGGCCCCGGAAACCATTTTACCCAATTTGTCGTGATGTTCTTTTTGTTGTTCGCAGAGCCGAGGCTGCGGGGCGAGGCCGCGTAGGCCAGCGCCAGGGTCTTGGCGGCATGGCGGCCGACCTGTGGGAGCCCTGGGAGCCTGGGCCCGCCGCCCGGCCGCGCCTCATGACCTTCTCGTCGACGCGATCCTCCAGGACGCTGACGCTCAACGGGCTCACCGTCACCACCACGCTGCGGCCGGCGCAGCGGGAGCGCACGCTGTCCGCGGGGCCCGCGCTCGGCGCCGACCAGGGTGAGTACGCTACACTGCCAACAACCACTTTGAACCCCCGCCCCACGAGAGAGTGAGCGCACTGCCTCTTTTGCTCTTAATCGCCCATTGGACTCCTTCCTGTCCTTCCTTTTTGGTCCAGCAGTCTGGCAGATGCTTCCAGCATGCGGCCGCACTGTTGGGCGCAAGGGAGGGACACGGGGGCAAGCAGGGCAAGCAGCGAAGCAGCGGCCAGCAGGCCGGGGGCCAGGCCCTTGTGGAACTTGGAGACGAGCCCAGGCGGCGCACGGTGGCAGCGGCGCTGTGGATGTTAGCCCGAAGTAGGGGCGGGGCCGGTCGGGGCGGGCACACCGGGCACGGGGTGAGAAGGGGGCTAACGATTGCTATGCGCTGCACCTCGCCATGTCGGCCGTGTGTGCGGTGGCGGGGTGGTGGCGGGGCGGGGGAAGAGGGTTAAACTCAGGTGAAGTGGGCGACCTTGTCTGCGGCGTGCGGTGCACGGCGAAGCACGGCGGAGCAGCGCAAGTGGCCAGACAAACAGCGGCCCAGACCAGGGTGGTCGGCGTGCCTGGCCCGGGGTCATCCCGACAAATTTGCTTTCCCCGCCGCCACGCCGCTGGGGAAGCTCGGGGGGTGTTTGCCGGTCCGATTCCCTAGCGTTGCCCAGCGTGCCGCGCCGTGCCGCGGCGGATGAACACACGACTGCCTTCTTGCAGGCGACGGTGACCTGCCGGACGGCAGCTGCTTCCGACGGCCCATCCCCGTGGCCTGCGCGACGTCGACGACGTCCTCCACGGCGTGCACGCCGCGGCAGCCGCGCCCGCCGGCCTCCACGCCCGCCACGCCGTGCGCCCCGGCGCCCTTCGGCGACCACCTCGAGGACCTCGTCGGCGACTGCAGCGTCACCAGCGTCACCACCAGCAGCAGCAGCGCCAGCAGCGGCCTCGGCGGCGAGCAGGCGACCGCCCCCGCCACCAAGAGGCGCCAAGCCCAGGTAAGCCAGCCTGGACCGCCGGACTAAGCCTCGAACAACGGTGGGCTTAACTTATCTGAAAGACCGTGATTCACGGGGACGCTGTGGGGCTGCGGCGCTGCGCCGCTTCGCTGCTGTGGGGCACGCCGAGGCACGCCGAGCCCTCGCTTATCGCGGCCTTTGTGGGGCACTCATTGGCTGCGGCCAGGATTAGGGTGCAGGGCGCAGCCAGGCGGCCAGCCAGGCAGCCAGCCACGCAGCCAGCGACTGTTATTGTGTTGGCAGCGCCCGGCCCGGCGACGCCCGGCGTGTTAGGCAACCCGGCGGCAGCTGTGCAGGACGAGCGGCCTGCGGAGCCTGCGGCGGGGGCCTCGGCCTCGGCGGCGGCGGCCTTGGCGGCGGCACGACACGGCACGCGTTCGTATTGCGTCGGGCCTGGTCGGGCCGCAGTGCCGCCGCAGCCCCAGAGGGGGCCTTGCCTTCCAGGCCTTCCAGGTGGGAATGAAGAAGGGCGCTTCGTAATTCCGTGTGCGTGTACGTCTATTGTCACGGCGCGCCTCTCGACAGGCGCGTTGCGCGAGTTCATAAACGAGTTTCGGCCCCTCGTCGTCGTCCTCCCTGTCGGCCCCGCGAGGGGCACGACGACGCGGCGCACGCGGAGGCACGCATTGTTTGATTGCAAGCCGGGCGGCGCGCGGCTCAGCGCAGCTCAGCGCAGCAGCGTGTTGGTTGCGCTATGACGCGCGGCCCGCTCCAATTATACGGCGGCCGCGGATTTACTCTTTTACAGGGGCAAAATGAACGCGCGCGCACACAGACACAGTGTCACGCACACACACATACATACACTCACACATACTCACACACACAGAGACACAGTGTCACGCACGCGCTCAGTCGCGCGCACACATCATACACGGTCCGCTCTGAAAAGTAACGAAGGCGAAAAAAAGGTAAAAAGAAAATCAGCCCCTAGCTGCTGCCCCCGGCCGGCTCGCCTCTGGCTGCCTCTGGCCGTACGCAAGTGTCCCACACGTAGGGAAATGTGTTATGTGGTTTATATTCTCTTGTGACCACGGGTTTTGTTGCGCTACTTTTTAGGCTCCGTTTTTGTGTTCTTGTTTTGTTGACTTGCATGCAGTACATACGGGGAAGACCCAAGCCCTCCCTCGCATAGCGAGTCAAAATTACATTTTAAAAACAAAACCACATTTCTAAGCGAATAGTTAGTTTTGTTTTAAAGCCGCGTGCGCGTATAATTTTTTTTTCGTTTCTTTTTGCTAGGCAGGTGGCAGGGAGACGTGGAAAACGTTCCTCCCGGCTGGTTCTGCTTTATTGTCGCCGTGCTCGCTTGGCGCGTTTTTTGCGGACTGCGCCGCATGGCTCACGTCCCAAGGCACGCGTGTCCCGGACAAGCTCCCGGCAAACTCCCCCCGCCGTGCCTCGCTGTGCCTCGCCGTGCCTCGCCGTGCCTCGCCGTGCCTCGCCGTGCCTCGCCGT